TTTTTGTTTTTTGATTGCATCACTAGGTTACCCAAGCTGGCCTTGAACTCCTGGGCTCAATTCATTCTCCTGTCTCAGCCTCCCTAGCAGCTGAGATTACAGGTGCGTACCCCTAAACCCAGCCACATGAGCCATTTTTTGAGAATCATACTTTCAGGCAAGGAACAAATAATTATGATTTCTGAGGAAGGTACTGACATTTTATTTATATGTAATCCATATGACTACAAAATTCTGATACCTTAGAAATTCCCAAATAAAACTTTAGTAGCAGCTAATCTTTTAAGTAGAGACAGAATCTGAACATCTACTATGAGTCAGAGACTATGCTGAGAATAGCATAGAATCTGACTTGAACACACTTCACCTTTAGATGATTCTGTGAATTTTTTCTTATTTCTTTTTTCCCTTCTTCCCAACATTAATATAGCTCTTAGGCCCCAAGAACAATACAAGAGATACGATACAGGCAGAGGAGCTTTATGGAGGCAGGAAAGGGAGAAAAGGGCTTTTGTTCAACAATGGCGGCTTACACTTCATGGTCTGAGCAAAGAAAAATACCCTCTATATTTCTCAATACCTTTGCAAATTATACAGCCATCTCTTACACAGGGAAAACATAAACATCTTCCATGTACATATGCCCGCACTCAACACACAGATTTGGATCCTTATTTACCTGGAGGAAAAAACACTAGATTTGGAGTTTAAATTCCAAACTGCTGCTACTTGTTAACATTTTGATGGTAGGCAAATCCTTTAACCTTGCTGAACTTTGATGCTTTTGTTAGAAAAGCAGATTTTAACACCTGTTTCATAAAGTGTTTAGATATTGAAGTGATATAAAGTCCACACAAATTTTTTTCATCATTAGAACAACTCTGTAAGGCAAATAGGACCTGCACTTTACAGAGAAAACAGGTACAAAGAAACCAAGTGGTTCACCTACGGTCACACAGGAAGTAATCAGAGAAGTCGGCAATGAATCTTATCTGACTCCAAATACTCAGATGCCTGCCCTACCCCTGTGGCACAGATGAATTCCTTTTCCCCTGCTGCCCTCTCTTTTGGGCTCTCAGACATGGAAAGATTTCCCCTTAATGGCTCTTCTATCCCTGAAGACTAGAGGGCCTTCTCTACTCACAGTCACTTTTGCCACAGGAAGAGGATCTTGAGTAGTTCCTGGAGAACAGGGGAACTTGACTCAGGACAAGTTGGGCCCTTGGCATACATGATGGAAAAGAATTTCAGCACATATCAGTAGAGGCACTTTCCTTTCTTAGGAAAGCAGACACACTTTGAGGGAGAATCTAGGCCATCTCAATCAAGAATGAGAAATGTTTTGGGGGTTTTTGGATTGCTTTTTTTAAGGAAACTTGGTGAGGGATAGGCTTGAGAAGGTACGTGAGAATGACATCAGTCTGGTCATATTCAGGCTACACCAGGGCCTTTGAAGGGCCTTTACCAGATTCAGGTAAAAGTGACTTCCAGAAAGGCAATAAGAAGTTGTCTTTCAGCTGGGTGCAGTGGCCCATGCTTGTAATCCCAGTGATGAGAGGCTGAGGCAGGAGGATCACAAGTTTAAGGCCAGCCTCAGCAAATTAGCAAGTCCCTAAGCAACTTAATGAGACCTTGTCTCAAAAAAAAAAAAAAAAAAAAAGCTGGGGATGTAGCTAGTTCAGTGGTAAAGCACCCCTGGGTTCAATCCCCAGTACCAAAAAAAAAAAAACCTTTCTTTTAGCAGAAACCAAGAGGCTCCCATTATCAACAATCTGAGCCTGGTGCAGTGATGCACATCTGTAATACTAGCGACTTGGGAAGCTGAGGCAGGAAGAGGGGAAGGCACAAGCCACTGAAAAGGAAATAGGAAGTCCCATAATTGAGCGATCAAATAATTCAAAAGAAGCAGGTTTCATTTCCAGGTAAATTAGTTCTATCAGAACCATGTTTGGAATGCTCATCTGTCTGACATGCTGATAATTAAGTAGTGGTGCTAACTGATTTCATTATTCCATCACAAAGGGCAAGGCTTTTGCATGAGTTTGCATCTATTTCAGTAGACACTGGTATTAACTATTCTATGAAAACTCATTACCAGCCAAACATTTTTCTAGTACTTTTTTTTCAAATTTTATTTTTTCAGGTTGTAGATGGATACAATAACTTTATTTTATTTTATTTATTTATTTTAAAATATTTTTACTGGTTGTTGATGGATCTTTATTTTTATTTTATTTATTTTTATGTGATGCTGAGGATCGAATCCAGTGCCTCACAAATGCTAGGCAAGTACTCTACCACTGAGCCACAACCCCAGCCCCTCCAGTACTTTTGGGTTCATACTGGAAACTCAAGTTAGATAGAATCCTACATCCTGAGGAAATAAGAGGCAGACTCATTTTCCAAGGAAATGGTTCTTGAGGAATACACAAATGCAGGTATGTTCTAAAATGTGCATTTCCCCAGCTCTGTACCCCGTCTTCTGACCAGCTTCCTGAGGTTGGGACCAGAATTCTGAAAAATCTTTTCTTCCTATTCACATGGTTCCTGGTTGTGCTAGAGAGAGCCTGCAAGGCTGGAGGAAGAGGGAGGGGCCTGCTCCTCCTTGTTCCTCCCAACCACACCCCAAAGTAGCAACGGCAGTGTGTGCAGCGTGTGCTTGAACCAGCCTCATCACACTTCTGAGAGACACCCGCACTGATGGTGGCCCAGTGCCTTCTTCTCAGGGCTTGGGTAGCAGAGATTCATGGGTGCCCAGGGCTCTCCATGAGCTTCTAGGCTGTAAAAACCTCCACTTCCACTGCTGTTGTCAAGCCTAAGAATGGTGCTGTTTCCTATGCCCTGTCATGTTCTCTGTTTTGTCCTCCAATAACTTCCATATTGATTTCTTGTATTAAATTGGTTATTAAAATAACTTGTGCAGTTTCTTCTTCGCTGATTGACAGAACATAAAATGGCATCCTTGAGAATCACGACTTCATCTATAGCAGAAATAAATAGAGTTGATTCTGAAATCAGTCATGTTTACGTGAGAACCCCAGACCATCTGAGTTGTACCCATTAACTCTAGAAATTTTAATTTACCTCTCTAGGTCTCATTTTCCTTAATCACTTTCCTTTGTACAATTAGTATATGTTGAGCACCTACTAAGTGCCAGAAACTGCACTAGGCACAGAATAATGGTATGCAAAACAAATTCCTTGACCTTCCAGAACTTCTTGTTGTGTGAGTCAAATGAGATAACGCATGTAAGAACGTTAGCACAGTGCAGGGCACGTTGTTATCAGCCTTCCTCTCCATACTGTGACAGCAGAGCAAAGACAAATGGGTCTTGAAGAAAATGGGTCTTCAGCTAATGAGAAAGGTATCTTGCCCCAATTAGGGGGAGGTCTCAGTCAATATAATACCAGAGATTCATGGGTGCTCTGTCTATCCTCCCTGTTCAGAGCAAAGAAGCAACGACCTTGCAGTAGCATTCATTCAGAGGGAAATGGGACAGATGGCCCTAGAGAGGGAACCCACAAGATGGCATTTTAAAGAAATTCCAAGGAGACAGGTACCTGTGATACTGGGCACCAGATACTGAGCTCCAATGCTGAAGGGAAACAGAAATGCAACACAAGCCTGGGACTAGGGTCCAGAATGGCCATGGGGTGAGCAGAGGAAGACACTAGAAAGCTATCACACCAACAGCAGACATAACAAGTCTTTTTACTATAGAAGGGAAAATATGTACAAATGGTTTTTATACATTTTTTCTTCATCACACTTTATGCTTTCTGCAGCAGGACAATATACCTAGAGAGACCAGGGTGGCTAATAGATGGAAAAGGAAGATTCCAGATTCTATTTAAGCCCTAAGCCATGGGCAAGAAAAAGCTGGAAAGAAATCCAATCTCTACATTTTGACATATTTTTTTCCTCTGTCTAGACATCAGGCATATCAGGCAAAGATGGCCAATGTTCTCATTAGTATGAAATGCTCCTGCAAGACTGTTGTGTGGCCAAATGCTACATATCTACAACACATTGATATCTTTTAAGTGCAAATTAAACTCTTCACCCTCAATTTTTTACTCATTTTGACATGATTATGACCATCAAAAGTCATACTAAAGAAAAGTAACTATGAGAAATTATTAGTTCCATTCCATCTTCTTGCTCTAGGGCCTTGTTATAAGTAATTTACTGTCATAGAAGGAATTTAGAGTTCCATAAGGCATGAAAAGCCTATGGAGAGTTTTATTCACAAATAAATGTCAACGCTTAAATAAAAAAGACAGCTTCAAACTCTAGGACTATTGAGATGAACAACATACACTGCCTGGATGATTTATTGGTTATGTTTATAGTCCAAGTGTTAAGATAATTCAATTCCGCTTGAAGAGTCATTATATGGCCAAACCTAAGAGAAGTACTTTGAATAAGAGATGGTATTTCTTGGTTTTTCCATTTCAAACAAATTATTATTTCTGTATTTAGTACATCATCCAGGCAATTTCTTTCATGACTTGTAGCACTCTTGAGCAATTAAAAAAATTATAAGGTGAAAGAAGTAGAAAACGAATGCCAAATTCAAAATGATCCACAGAATATTGAAGAACCCCCAGAGAGCACTGCTGTCTCAAACATAAGGCAAAATAATCCCTTCTGCTCACAAAAACTTAAAGTGAACAGTGAGTGTGCATCACAGCAAGAACATTATTACCCAGCAGAAGTAACCTGCTAAATACAGACTTCTTCTCCAAACAAGGCTCCTAACAGATGTGAGCAAAAGGTACCTGCTGAGGAAATGGAGAAATTCACCTGGCATGCTGTCTGCACAGTAGCACATGGCAGTCTTCGCCCTTAATCTCCTACCACATACATTTGGATGGACCATGGAGTAGAATCTATTTGTGATACATTCTGGGACTTGATAGAAGACACACCCAGGTGGGCCATGGGAGAGGGGCCCCAGTCCATCAGAACAGCCCCTGGAGTTCCGGGGCTTACATACCGTCCAGGCCATTGTGATGACTGTAGTTTCTTTTCCCCAGAATGCTTAGAGACGTGTGATTCGGGGTAGTTAGCATCCGCTTGGTAGTTGGGGTTTGCAGGCTTGGTGTGGAACGAATAACATTAGGTTTCTTTGCAGGATGGATCTCTGACAGGAGAGAAAAGGTTTCTCAACTCAGAACATGGTATTAAAAATCTCTGTGTACACTTAGGCTGGCTAATGGGCACACATGTCATTTCTTAATGAGCTGAGAGTCGGCTCCTCATGAGCCAGCTGTGGACCTGCATAAGGAATCAGCTTCAAGTGATGTTGCCATGGCTTTGCTTATCAAGTAAGCAGCTTCTTCCCCTGCTGGCTGGAGCTCTGAGCCTCAGGTTGTGAATACAAACAAACAAAAAAGCCACTTCAGAAGGTCACTTGCAACATGAGATTTACTGTGGGAATAAAGCACTTGACTCTTCAAAGTATTCAAAATCAAAAATTATCTGCAGAAGTAGCCTCATGGGGGGAAAAAAACACAAAAAAGCCAAAAAACACCTGTGCTCTGTCAAACCAGGAACATGCAGGCCCTGTGGTGTGTAAGCTTTCTGAAAAACAGGATTATTCCTCTGACTGTGCAACTGGAGTACAGGACCAGGGTCAATCACTCCCAGCCCAGAACATTTTGATAATGGATGAAATCTAAAACCAAAGTCCAAATACAATAGTCAAAAATAAGATGAAACCCTTTGACCAAGAACAGATGACAAACCTCTAACAAGCATGCAGCGCATGCATGTTTAAGTGAAATCCACTGGGAGCCACACAGCCCGAAATCACTTTTACTTTTTGTAAATGGACAGAAAATTGCAATACTGTAGGAATTAGATTTAAGGACCTCAGTCTATTACTAATACCAGTACCTTCCTCCAAAGCCGAACCTGTTTACTGATCCTCAGGTTTATCACCCAGCAAGCCAACTATGTGAGAAGCACCCATCTTCTCACCTCCCACACAAGGGGAGGGCCAAGACAGCCTTATTTAATGAAATTTAGCAAGAGCCATTTGGATTGTTAGATCTTGGTCTAGTCAAAATCCTACGCTTGTCAAATTTAGAAATGATTTAAGTACTATGAAAAAAACAATGATTTTTTTTCCCCCAACATGGCATTGAAAGTTTGCCACCCTCATTCTTCACTATAACCTCTCTACACCATGCTCCATCCAGACCAGACGATTTGCTTCCCTCAATTTTCCAGGTCCTTGGACCCACTGAAGCCTTTATCTATCTGGTTCTCTTGGCCTCATGAGGAAATATAATATCTTTTCCTATTTTTCTTTCCAACTATTCAAATACTACATCTTTCAAGGCTATGACTGACTACTTCCTCAAGTACACTGCCCTAATGCTCATCAGAAATAACTACTCCTAGCCGGGCACAGTGGCACACATCTATAACCCCAGCTACTCCAGAGGCTGAGACAGGAGGATTGCAAGTTCAAAGCCAGTCTGGGCAACTAAGCAAGACCTTATCTCAAAATAAAAAGTAAGAAGGGCTGGGGATATAGCTCAGTGGTAAAATACTTGCCTGGCTCAACCCTAGGCTGGATTCCCAGTACTCCCCACCCCCCAAACACAGACAAAGAAAGAAAGAAAAAGAAAAGATGACCCTTCTTTCAAGAATGTAATGCATGTGAAAACCTATAATTTCCTAAGAGCATCTAATTCTTTGTTCTGTTGTTTTTATTGTGTCCTTTCCCCTCTAGACTAAAATTTTTAAGGGAAAGGTCTTATTTCTTGCTGTTTCCCAAATTATAAAATACGGAGTCTGGAACATAGAAAATATGCAGTAAGATGTCATGTAGGGTTGTGATTCAGTAAGTAAGGACAGAAGGGTTTGGGGCTCATCTGATAGGAACCAGATGAGCCCCAAAAGGAATACAGGAAGCCAGTATGCCCGCAGGAGAAACACACAATTTCCCTTGGAAAAACTGACTACTATGCAATGTTACATTCTGGTGGTCGCTGTTTGAACAATCAGAAACTTTCTCCTTACAAGGTGGGAAGGGGCATCCAGGAGTCAGTCCTGCAAAGAGACACAGAAGGCAACCTTCAAGGTACTGTCACCATTACACAGGCCATGCCTGTAATAACCACTATGATATTCTGGGGAAATATCAAAGCAATTTCCTAGCCCTTGAGATATAAAACAAGAAATAAGGTGGTGGAATAACATCAAAAGTGGAACTGTGAACTTCTGAGCTTAAGGACATTCTGATGAGAACCGGGTAATATACCAAGTTCAAGGTTATACTTTGATTTTTAAAAGACTGGATATCTGAAATCTGAACATTTCTTAACTGTAAGACTGGACAGAGCAATAAAGTTCAATGCAACTCTGAGTATATACATTTCGCTTTTACTGAGAAAATGAAAAAGAAATATTAGAAACACAAAACATGCCATTCTTGCTATATGTGAAATTATTATTGTAGAAGTTATTTCTCTTAAAGCTTTGCAAAAAAAAGGGCTTTGCATAGTTATTTTTAAAAAGTATTCTTGTGCTGTCACATAAAACAAATTAGAATAACATTTTAAAAATTTAAAAATTAAAGGGAAAAAAGCATTCTTGTGTATTTCAACATGTAAATGGATCATAATCCCTGGAGATTTCTGAGTTAAATGGCACGATAAAAATCAGAAAGCAATAAAAAGGTTTCCCTTTCAAATTAATCTTAATTGACACTTCAAAACTTATTTTATTTATGCATGCTGGGGATCAAAGCCAGGCCCTCTCACCTGCTAGGCAAGTACTCTACCACTGAGCTATATCCCAGGTCCCCATAAATAAACTGAAAAACTAATTTTTTGGGAGGTGGTGCTAGAGATTAAACGCAGGGCTTCACATATGCTGGGTAAGACTCTATCAGTCAGCTATACATTCAACCCTTAAATATATTTTTTTCTAATATAGGTTAAAAATCAATTTGATTTTTTTAATAAAAGGAAAGTACACAAATCAATTCTATTTAAAGGATTAGAGATAGTCTAAGATTTAGAGATAGTCTTCATCCTCTAAGTAATAATTGAATAATTTTTTTTATTTTTCTCTCCATGCACTTATATATTTAATGATTCTTTTTGAAAAAATAAACATATACAGGTATGTGTGGGTTAGTAATACAAATTGAAGATTCTAAACCAAACTTACCTATACATATAAAGGTATCCAATTTCACCTATTTGAAAGGCTTGGGTTGAGTTTAGGTACACATCGAGAATGGCTGAATATCTTATATAGAAATTGTTTTTTGAGTTTTTCCTGCCAGAAAATACCCACCTAAATACCCGATGATACATGCCAAAGGTTTCCTAGTGCTTTTGCTTTTCAGTGGACTTCCAGATAGTTCGGCATGTCTGTCTGCATCTGAGGAAAGAAAGAAACATGGAGACAACCAATGAGGCAGATTTCTCTACCTACACCACACACAGTGCAGAAATAAAAAGTACAAGTGGAAAACAGATCAAAATACCCATCCAATTCCTGTATAATTTCCTTCTGGGTTTGAGAAAAAACCATTCCTAGTTCTGTATCCCAATACTAAATCAAGGATTTATGTAGAGAACACTCACTTTAAAGCCTCATGTAAGTGCAGTTAATACACACCTTACACATGTGCACACACACACACCTAAAAAGCAATGGAAATATGCTTTCATTGTAGCCATGGCATTTCTGAATTACAGTAACAAAATCCCCATTGGACAAGACGGAACCAGGCCTATATAGAATCAACCTGGCTTGGGCCAAGGACAACTGACAAAGGCACTCCTCACCCTTGGACATAGATGGACTGGGTCCCAACAAAGGAGTCTTAACCTAATGTGACAAAACTCAATGCCATCGGATGAAAGCCTGGCGACGGAAACGACAAGCCATTTGGCTTTATCACTGGTTCTCTATCCCTCGTGTCCTAATATGATGTCATTTGTGTTGAGATCTAAAATGTTACCTGTATGCAGAGTTTTTATCCAATAGTCAGAACAGTAAGCTACTGTGAGGGTGGATATTAGCTCATAAAAGATTCCATCTACTATTCTTGAACCATGTCATAAGATATTTCAGACCCAGAAAAATAAAGCTTACAACACAAACACTGCAGTTTTAATTAGCTGTCATTAGATGGAAGAGTAGATGTGGAACACAGCCGCACCATGTCAAAGGGATGATACAGTTTTGAGGGACAAAATGAAATGTGTACTGAGACTTTTTTAAACTCACAGATGTCATCATAAAKCAGGAGTAGCTTTGGCCAGTGTTGTTTTATGTTCATGCCTTTTCCCCATCTTCACATATTTAACAGAATTGTCCTACAGACTTTCTGATTCTACTGGAGAATTTTTCCTTTTGCAAAATGAGACCACTTTTCTGGGCATACATACATAAGTTTTCTTTGACACCCACAGGGTACACAAATGTACAATTCAATCTGAAATCTCAAATAATTTAAAATGAAAATGAACTTTGTCATGAGCTCTAACCCCTCTTCACCAAGAAAAATCTTCTGAAAACTGTTAAACAGAAGGTGGGAAAATAACATTTGGAAAAAAAACAAACATTAAAATAGACAAAGCACATACTGCAGAGGGCCTTAAGCACTAGGAAACTAACTTGTGCCCCCAAGCACTGGCTAATTATTAGGCACCCACAGACAACTATAAATGATCCAATTTCCTTTCCTCCTACACAGTTGATTCCCTTTGGGAAAAACATAAATCAATACGGAAGAACCTGTTAACAGTTGAATAATAACGGAGACATCGGCAGAAATATAAGCATATTTTAGAGGTGTAATCTACTTAAACATCAGGAAACGACTCAAACTCTATAAGGATCAAACACTGTCAAATCACAGAGCCACAATACTACACAATTCTTAATATCAATTGGCTCACATAAAATTATATTTGGGAAAGGGAAAAGGTGAAAATATTCTTTCTTCTCTATTAATAAAATAAAGCTTGAGTGAATCATCTTAGTTATTTGTTCAATATCTTGGACAAAGGCAATCACTGTATTAACTAGTATTAACTTTGCTCTTTATTCCAGTCTGTAAGACCCAAAGGAAAACTGCCACATGGCTGCAGTTGATGGTCACTGATGGATATTACCTTGGCAAGAATCAACAAAGCCACTGAAGGGGTCATCAACACAATACCAAAAATATTTCATTTTGTACTATACTAATTTGCTTCTACCTTTTTATTTAATTAGTAGGACCAATTATGTAATGTTCCAAGTGAAAATGTATATTACAGGGCATCACTCTTATAGAGACCAAAGCTCTTTAGAAGGATCCATATTTCATTAATCTTCACTATATTTTAAAGAAAGTAGTTGGTGGAGAGAATTATCAGTCTCAGTTACCCAGAAACTAGAAGGTGCTAACATGACCTAGTCTATTTAATAGTGAGGAACCTCCCTCAGGAAAGAAACCTAAAGGTATCTAATCCACACTGGTAGAATCCTGGTCTGCAAAGATGAGGCCAAATTTGGTGCCACTTGGTAGTCAGTCCTTGCTCCCAAGTTCCTCACTTATCTCTATTTAATCAGAGAGAAGCATTAAAAGTGCACAAAGAAAGCAACCAGAGAAATGCCCAAAGAACCCTGAGGAGCTAGGCATGGTGGTGCATGCCTGCAATCCCAGCAACTCCAGAGGCTGACGCAAGAGGATGCAAGTTCAAGGCCAGTCTCAGCAATTTAGTGATGCCCTAAGCAACTTCGAAAGATCCTGTCTCAAAATTTCCATAAAAAGGGTGGGGGATATAGTTCAGTGGTACAGTGCCTTGAATTCAATTCCAGGTACCAAAACAAGCAACTAAAAAAATCCTGAGGGAATTAAAATCTGCCCAGACAGGGAGAGCATCCATATCTCACTCAAGTTACTTGACTGGATGTATCTCTTTAACCTCCTACAAGATGATCTACATTTCCTTGAGATAAATGTGGAAGAACAGTCACTTTTATTGTAACTTACAGCTGTATTCATGCAATGATTTGGAAATATGGGGGGGGGACAATGAGACAGAAAATCTGCAAAATCCACACACTAAGTTAAAATGCACAAAAACATCTGCATGAGCTTTCCACATCTCTGTGAAAATCACTAGTAGGATTTGCTTATAGAACTATAAAGGCATTTCTAACAAGACGCAACACAGATACTATAAATGTTTTTTATAAACTATATTTAAAAAATATTTAGCAAATACATTTTTGAGTGTGTGTGTGTGCGTGTGTGTGTGTGAATGTGGTTCTGGGGATTTGAACCAGGGCATTCTAACACTGAGATATATCCCCAGCCCCCCACCCCCTCTTTTTTTTTTAAGACAGGGCCTCCTTGAGTTGCTGAGGTTGGCCTTGCTGGGATTACAGGTGGGCACCATCATGCCTAGCTGGCAAATACAACATAAACAAGGTCAAAGTAAAAAATGAGGGAAGTATTTATATCACATATCACAGACCAAGAGCTGTTAGATACAAAATTTCCAAAAGTCTGGAAGGCTTCTAACAGAAAACAGACCAGAATAAAAACAGTTGACAGAAAACACAAGATTTCAAATAAATATAATGATTTCTATCTCATTTAAAATGAAAAATGTAATCTAATGTCAGTTATGCTTTACCTACCAATTAGTTAAGGCTTTGAAGATGGACAACATTGCTGGCAAGATTCTAGAGAAACAGGCATTGTCCAGATGGGATGTAAACTGAAGGTTTTCTGAGGGCATTTGGGTCACAACTATCAAAATTAAAAAGTGCATGTTCCATGATCTAGGTTTTCATTTAGGATTCTACCTCATAAAACACTATAAACATGTTTTGTTTGTTTGTTTGGTGCCAGGGACTGAACCCAAGGCCTCAAGAGCATGCTAAACATTGGGCTCTATCACTAAGCTACAACCCTACAACCCGTCTCAACACATGCCCATTTTAATCATCAATGTGAAATCATATCTGTATAAGGACACTGATTCCAACATCATACCAGAAAATATTGGGAATATGATTTTTTTTAACAGGGAACTGGTTAAATTGAAGTATGACAAAATAATTAAGCAGCAGGCAAAAAAAAAAAAAAGGAAGTAGCTCTTCATGATATATTAAGAAAGCAAGGCACAGAACAGTAAAACTATAGAGAAACAAAGAATAGACCTATGTGGATTCTTACAGATGTATAGAATATCTCTGGATACTCAAGATGATGATAAACGTTACCTCTGAAGAGAGTCAATCAGGAATGACAGAGGTGATTAGATTTATAACCACTTTTGTACCTTAAAAAAAAATGTAAAGTACTAAAATAAGTAAACCAAAACTCTTCTCTACTGATGTTCCAGAGCTTAACATTTAAGAAAAGTCTCTCTATATAACTGCTAATAGTAACTTCTGCTGAGAAATCTCTAGGAAAACTTGTATCTAATTAATTTTTCATGAAATGGGGTCTTGGGATACTTTCCAAAGTTGTATTCCTGTCTTCAAACAGAAAAATGGCTCTCAGTGACTCCAAAAATCACTTGACACTGGGGAGTATTGCTGCCATGAAAGGCTGGTGTTGATTCAGAAGCACTTTATTACCTATGCAAACTGCCAAGGTGACTGGCAAATCATCAGGACCTATTTTTCTAGCAATGTTAGTTTCATTGACAGAATTCTAACACACCTACTACTTAATGTCAGTGTGAGGATCCTGAATCTCAAAGAGTGATAATCCTGTGCTCATCTGGTGTTTGAGAGACTGTGCATCACGGACAGTCACCTGGTAACTCTGAAGGAAGGTTTAGTGGTAATAACAAAGGAGAAACACCATTTTTTTTTTTTTAATGGAGGGAAAGAGCATCATAAGGGGAAGAGACAGGATGTCTAAACTTGATATTGTGTTACTACCTGTGCTGGTTGGGTGCAAACCCTGTCAAGGACATGGTACTTTATTTTAGGTCTTAGCCTCCTAATCCATCCTTAATAAGCACCCTCTGCATGGTAGACTTGACTTAGGCATTTTACTAATACTAGAATCTTTGGTATGAACTTACATATTCCTACACGAAAGAGTATTATATTATTAAAACAAATGTTTATATATTTGGAAAAATCAGTTTTAAAAATATTTTTTTCATGTTTGTTTATTTTTCATTTTGAGACAGGGTTTCACTAAGTTGCTTAGGCTGGCCTCAACTCACAATCCTCCTGCCTTGGCCTCCTAAGTCATTGGGATCACAGGTATGCACCATCATGCCCAGCTCACATGTTTAATCTTAAACATTTGTTGATCTTACCATATACTTCAATTCCTAAGAAAAAATTTCTTTGGTAGGAAACATTTCTATAGTACCAATTGGAAGCATTTAAAAGGAAGAACACTGTAAATCTGTTTCCCACCCCTTTCTCTTTTAGTGTTCGTATCCCTTCCCATAGACATCACTACCTTTGTGTTCTGGGGATTGAACAGAGGAGTGCTTTATTACTGAGCTACAACCCCAACCCTTTTTGAGTAAGGGTCTTGTTAAGTTGCTTATGGCCTAAGTTGCTGAGGCTGGCCTGAAACTTGGATACTCCTGCCTCAGCCTCCTGAGTCACTGGGATAAAAGGTGTGTGCCACCACACCCAGTTTACACATTGCTACTTCTTGCTGATTCCCTTTTTACCATACTATATGCCTTCGTACAAGCTTCTTAATGAAAATGAAGCCAAAAAGTGTTCCCGTAGTCAACTGAAAAAATTTCCTCTAAGGCCAGGCATGTTGGTGAATGCCTGTAATCCCTACAACTTGGAAGGCTGAGGCAGAGCACCCCTGGGTTTGATCCCTAGTACCAATTTGATCCCAAATAGGGATGACCTTAGAAGTCATAAYTGAGACCCCGATCTTCCTGATCTACTTGAGTTTCTCTCCTTAGCTTGCTGCTTCACTCTTACAGGCTGTCACTCTACAGACTCTGGCTATGACACTGGCTATAATGTTGCTCCCAAGGAAAGAAAAGATCAAAGGGATCAATTTCTACTGTGTTTATAAATAAGGAGTCTCAAGTTCACAAACTATTTTCTTTTTTCAACATGATGATCAATTATTCTAAAATGTATTAATTAGAACTCCCGATCATTATTTTCAGAATTACCAACTCCCACTTGAACTCAAAGTACATTTATACTGCATCTCAGTGATCCTTAACCTTTTTGGGGAAAAGTTTACTGGGGGGGAAGACTATTCATTTCAGGGGACCACAGACTTGGTTGCTGATAGACATCAGGTTATTAACATCTAATCTTCTAACAAACCAAGATCAAGGGATCTGGTGAAGAGCTTATAATCATGTACTATAGGAAGGTAAAAGATAATTTAAGAATCAATTAGATGCAAGGAAAATAATTCATTAGTTGCTTGTCTGAAAAGAAAATAACTTATGGCTGCTGAAACACTAATTTTAAATCTTAAAGTAAAACTGATTATGTTAAGAGTGACTAAGCTAAATACAAAATAGTATATGTTCTTTAAAAAGAAATTTGATTTGCAAGTTTCTTTTTCTTTAAATCTCACCAAACCAATGATTTTTCTTTTACTATTATTTTCTGTAGAAATGAAATGCAGGTAACTTAATTGTGATCCTTTTTTAGCAGCATGGTCCTTTAATCAAAGAGAAAAAAAAATAGAATGGGGTGACAGAAAAGCAGACTTGATTCCAGAATAATCAGAATAAAGACAATGTGTAAATTAACTGAAAATTAACAAAGAGACAGGGGGAAAAGCAGCTTTCTGAGCAGCCAATTTAATTGGTAATGGTTTCTTTTCCATTCATAGGAACAAAGATGATATAGAATCCCAGCCAATTTTAATGGAAGAATTTCATTCATTTTTTCCAAAGGTTTGAACTATTCTTTTTATTTAAGAAATTATATATAAATATATCTGCTTTAAATTAACTGAACAGTTTGGACAAATATATTTATTCTCCAGTTCCTTAAAATGGGGAAGAAAGTGATAACATGAGTCCATGAACTCCGACATGTTAGGGCAACACTGACATTGCAGCCAACTTCCCTTCTTTACAAAGCACTTTTCTTCATCTTACAGAGCTTTTATCTTTAAGTTTAAAGCCTTTCAACTTCCAAGTTTCTACTGAACATTATTGTTAGAAACAAAAAATATTTTTTTCGGTCATCATTCCTGTCACGGACATCCTCCTTAAAGTGGAACATCTTATAATGAGATTTCTTATTTCACATATAAAGCATTTGAACGTCTAAGACTTTCTGTTAATCCAGACAAGGGTTTTCTCATCCCTTAGGGAAAAAAAACTACTCCAGGAGGAGTGTGACCACAGAGCTAATACACAAATTATGTACATGTTTTCAGATACATGGTAGTAGCAGAACAATCCACAGTTCACTGATACATAGGACTTTGGTTCTAACAAAAAAATGAAACATAAGCAAGACTGAATATGTTGAAAATGAGCAATGAATCATGTAAATGTTATGTGGTAATATGATATGATTATGAAATGGAAACCAAATCAGACAAATAAGACTGCTCAACCAAAAATTTAGAGGCTACATACGTTGTAAAAACTAAATGTGCACTTTCAGAAAATTCACCCAAAAATGATTTTATAATTTATTTATAATTTGCTAAACCTTCTAGTAAATACAGCATTTGTTATGAAGCACTATAAATTTCCATAACATTGTATGATTTGCAAAAGCTTCTTGGGAAAATGAGAGGTTTACAAAGACATACAATTTCTAATGATTATAAATTAATTTTATTTAAGTCTAATGAATCCACATAAGACAGGACTGTGCTGTCTCAAATAGGGAGCTTCATTATAACACCATCCTCAGGGGTTATGTTGCAGTACTACCTAAGAGGTAAAAGTGCTTCAGTAAGGGCTCTTTCAGCAATTCCATCACAAAACCCCACTGGATAGGGTCATCTCCCAATCTTCTGCTGAGCGCTACTCTGATAAAGATTTACAGAGATTTTCCCCCTAGGTTGGCATGATACAAATGGCAGCAGACAAAAACAATGTTTTAAAACAAAACAAAAACAAAAAAAAAAAACAAATAAAAGGCTGTACACAGAACTTATGTTTATTGCAAACAAAAGAAAGGGAGAGAGAGAGAGAGAAAGAGGGGGGGGAAAGGGAGAGGGAGAGAGAAAGGAAGAGAAAATGGTCAGAAAAGCACAACATATAAGGTTAAGAATTTAAAAACGTCTTACATTCTGCCCTAATGGCAGCATAATTAATAGCAACAAATGGCCGTCTTGCTGCCTGCCGCAACCGTAGGGTATTTTTGCAGACCTGACGAGCAAACTTTGTGAAATATGTAGTATGAAGGAAGAAAGCTTGGCGGGTCTTCACTGCAGACTTTGGACTCCCAGTGTTTCGGACAGGCATCCCCTGCATAGCCTGCCGGGACAAGTGACTTCTAACTCGGGGGTCCTGCAAAATCAGAAACCAATGAACATTTAAAGGATAGAACTTGTCAAAACACATTACCACCTGCATCATGCTCAAAGAAAAGCCTGAAATTCAAATCATCCTCTGATGCATCTATAACTTAGGACCCTGCCCCTAAAAGAAAGACTTTAAAAATCGAGCATTCTGGAGAAGAAGGCAGGGAGTACAGATTAGAAATACTGAAGTACTGCAAGAAATCAAACAAATGCTTAGAAGTGGGTCAGCAAGGCGAGAACTGTACTTGTTCAGAAGGGTGCACCCCTAGAGGGAACCTGGCCAGCAGACCATACCTGGAAGGGCAGTTGGCCAGTTTTTATCCCTAATGAAGCTCTCTCTCTTTCGCTCTGATAGGAAGAGTTCAAGGGTACAATCTACAAGATTAGCCAATTTAAAATTGGCAAGGGCATAGAAAAGCGCTACAGTTGTGACTGGATACCTTTTAGGGGAATTTAAAAATGGCTCCATTCTGACCACATGGTTTCCTAACTTAAGATGGCTCCACATACATGTGACATTTAAGTTACAATAAACACGTCTGTTTTGTGTTACAGGTTTAATTTTGATAGAAAACATAAATCTTATGATACAGAAGGGAACTGGTTGGAGAGTATAATACAAACAATCCCAAATTGCATACATAATAGTAAGGAGATTGTCAATGAGATCACTAGATTTTTTAATATGGAGTCTTGATATCCCATCAGCAATGAAAAAGAACAGTTTCCCTCTGGCAGACATAGGTGCCTGACATCATTAATCTCTGAGGATTTTATCAAAATCATATTCAATTACTATTCCCTTCAAGATTGCGTCCAAGAACTTCTTGTCCCTCCACAACAGCTAGGGGCATAGAAAATGTTTAATTTGTGTTTATTATTTAGTCTAATAAGACATTTTCAAAAGTAGTCAAAGGTTACAAACTATTTTTAAAAAGCAATTAAAACAAACAATTTGTAAGCTCTCTATTTATGTCAACACCTCCCACACACATTATTCTTTTTTCTGAGTATYTCACAAGACTAATATTTTGAATACCTGAAAACATTTGATTTTTCCCTGCTCCTCTCTCCACACCCACTCTGAATACCTTGGTGCTATGTTTAGCTATAAAAACAGCTTTACTCATCTTTAAATTATCCTATACTGTGTTTCCATTATATTGCTAGTACAGTATAATTTAAATTCCCAAGGAATGAGCTCACTATTGAAAATTATGAATCACACACTTCAGTACTAAAAGCCTACAGCTCACATACCTCTGTAGTTGGACTGGGAGATAACTTTTCTTCTTCTGACTGGGTGGGCATTTTCAGGCCTCCATATTTTTTCCAATACAGCCAACAAGTTGCACATAATCTACACTGCATATTGGGTGGGCCCCAAGAATACCACTGGTGAGACTGTGTAGCTGCAGACGGAGGAAGAAGAAAAAGAATGCAAGGAAATTTATAACATCAATTCAAATATCCCAAAGTCACCTTTAGTTTAGAATGTTATTTTTCTTTCCCTAGCTTAAAAGCCAAACATAATATATGCACATATTTTTCAATACTCAGGACTCAATAAACCAAATATTTATTTCTACAATATATATCCAGTGTCTGTGGCACCTATTAAGAGGCTATTAGGTGGAGTCTCCTATAGTAGGCATTATGCTGCTAGGGAGTTTGTGTTAATTAAAAATACTCTTATTATGCACATTTCTGGAAAAAAGTTTTCAGAAAGATGATAAGGAGAAGGAAGAAGAGGAATTATTGCAGTATTTAAAATCTAAACCCAGATTCAGAAACCACTCCAGGGGTTTAAGGCACTCAGAGATGTCCCATTGATAAAGCCAGGAATCTAATGGAAACAGGAATCTCTCTGCCATTCCTTTATTTTAGTCAACAAATACTTACTTTAGGATTTCTTCCTTTAAAACCAGAATTACTTTTTAGACTACCAATCCCTATCAAGTGAGCACATGCCATTACCATCACAATAAACCAAAGACCTAAACTACAGCAGATTCATTCCTTGACTGAACACTGTGAGGTGGTATGAAGCAATCTTTGCAGCTTAAATTGGTGTGATGTAACATTAAAAGCACACCCATGATTTTTTTGGATCCAAGTCTAGGACAGAAAACACTGATGTTGAAACATTAAGTGAACTAAGTACCTAAAAACTCTAACTTTTCTTTGGAAAAATCTTATTCTGATCTGTAAGTTACCTCCATCAGATCAAAATGTTCTGATAGTACATTAAAGGTGTCAACACTTTACAAACCAATGTCAACCACAACCAAATATGCCCTAAGGGTGAGGTTCAGTGGCAGAGCTCAGGCTTACCATGTGCCTGGGTTCAATCCGCAGTACTAGCCCCTCCCTCCAAAAGAAAGAGAATGAGAAAATATAGTGACTATTACATTTACTGCCTTGTAGATTATTGGTAACATATGTACTTCTTATTTCTAGAGGATTCCTTGCAAATATAAGCCTTTTAAAAAACCTTCCCTTTTATAATTTGAAACAAATAATAAGTTTTTATATTTATTTATGTTTCACTATTATTATTGAACCCAGAGGCTCTTCACCACCAACCCACACCCCCAGCCCTTTTTCTTATTTTGAGACAGGGTCTCACTACATTGCTGAGGCTCAAACTTAAGATTCTCCCTCTGGCCTCTGCCTTTCGAGGTGCTGGAGTTACAGGTGGGCACCACTGCCCCCTACTCCCAACCCTTTTAAGTTAGGGCTTGCTAAATTGAACCTGTGATCCTTCTGCCTCAGTTCCCAAGCAGCTAGGGTTACATGTGTGTGCCATTGTGTCTACCAGGTTTATTTTTTAAACACAAATTTTAAGAATCCACAGCATCAAGTCATGGCTCTGTGTTGGATTCTGAATATAAAATTTGATGTATAATTAACTTGAATTCAATTAAAGAGCAAATATCAGCTGGGCACAGTGACACACACTTATATTCCAGGAGCCTGAGACAGGTGGATTCCAAGTTTGAGGTCAACCTGGACAATTTAGCAAAACCTTGTTTCAAAATAAGAAAAGGGCTGAGGATTCAGCACACCTAGGCTCAATCCTTGGTACCAAAAGAAAAAGTAGAAAAGTAAATATCACTTGACAAATAGAAAACACCAAATTCTATCATTCTGTAAGTATAAATCTTATTTATTTATTTATTTATTTAGGCACCAGGGATTGAACTCATAGGTGCTTAACCACTAAGCCACATCCCCTGCCCTTTTTTGTATTTTATTTACAGACAGGGTCTGCCTGAGTTGTTTAGGACCTTGCTAAGTTGCTGGGGCTGGCTTTGAACTCATGATCCTCCTGTCTCCTAATCTGCTGGTATTATGGGCGTATACCACTGCATCTGGCTCTAGTATAAATCTTTTATGTATATTAAGATACATTTTATGATAGATATTAACAACATGTTGATCAAAAATATAAAATTAAAATCACTTGTATGTCAGACACACATAAAAATGACAATTAAGTATTTAAATCAGTATTTCACACATGAATGTGAAAGAGATTTGAAAGCTGGGCACAGTGGCATGTGCCTGCAATCTCAGGAATTCGAGAGGCTGAGGCAGAAGGATCATAAATTTGAGGCCAGCCTTAGCAACTTAGACCCTCAGCAACTTCATGAGATCTTGTCTCATAATAAAAAAACCAAAAAGGGCTAGGGATATTCTCAGTAGTAAAGCACACCTGGGTTCAATCCCCAGTGCCAAAAAAGAAAGAAAAGGTTTGAAAGTAAAAGAAGAAGACAGATTGCCAGGTGCAGTAGGGAGCACCTATAGCACCAGCTAATCAAAGAGGCTGAGGCAGGAGGATAATTTGATCCTAGGAGTTTGAGGACAGACTGGGACCATAGTGAGATCCCATCTTAAAAAAACAACTAAGCCACTACCATTTGTGTGCATGGTTCTTTTTATTTTCACATAAATATAATGAATTTCAAAATCCAAGAACTTCCAATTCAGAGGCACTATCAATGCTATCCATATGAAATCTTGAGCAAAATAATCTATATTTTTTGCAAACTGATTTTCTTTGTTCTCTGATGGTACAGAGAATGGTTAGACACATGTTCATGTCTCATTTCTAGAAAGTCAATACTTGGTGTGGCTCAAGTCTTCCTTAGAGTCAAGAGAAATAATTATATGATTTGATTTTAAAAGTCTTTTCTAATGCTGACACTTAATGTGGGATATAGAGCAGACTGAGTCTTAAAGTCCCTCTCCCATGTCCCTAGGCAGTGAGTAGGTTCATCTACCCCCACAAAGAGCTGCCGAGAGCCAAACACTGGATACAGGTAGACTTTCAATAAACATGTGCTTCCTTTCCTCTCCCACCCCAGGCTACCTTCGTTGAAAGAAAACAGATGATGTCACCAATGCCCCATTAAGAGATTATACTAGCCAGTTGCTCAGACTACAAGTTAGCTAATCAGGAGGCTAAGGCAGGAGGAGTCTGAAGGCAACTAAGCAATATCCAGTCTCAAAAAAAATTTTTTTCTTTTCTTTTTTTTGATACTGGGGATTGAACCCAGGGGTACTTAATCCCTGAGCCATATTCCCAGCCCTTTCTGTATTTTAGTTAGAGACATGGTCTCAATAAATTGCTAAATTGCTGAGGCTGGCTTTGAACTCATCTTCTGAGCCACTGGGATTATAGGGGTGTGCCACTATGCATGGCTCAAAAGATTTTTTAAAAAGAGACAGGGATGTAGCTCAGTGGTAGTGTGCGACTGGGTTCAATCCCTAGTACCAAAAGAGGTATGTGTGGGGGTCATTCTATTGTTGCTTGAAATTTAAGTAAACAACAACCTATCAGTTCATCTCACCATCCCCATTTAACACCCAGGGCACAGAAAATACTGCCAGCATAGATAAATAACAGCAGGGATCTAAGGCCAAAAGCAAATGTCACAGAACAACATCTCCCAAACTGGTGCCCTGAAATAGCAGTTTATCCCCAGATAAGCCTTTCCTACAGAATTACCAGGCACCTTTAATTTGTCAAATAATACTAAAAAACTCCAAAAGGAAATTTGGTATGTATCACGAGACCATGGCTTGGCCAAAGCTAATCCAACCTTGCACAGTTGAGCAAACACTGCCATTAAACACACAATAGAGCTCTTCCAAAGCAAAGGAAACCCAATATCTACCTTTGATGTATGGCACAGAATAAGTACCAGTGATCAGCCCCTTCATTCCCTGCAGAAGGCAAGGACAGGTCCCTATTCACTATGAGGAGACAATGCCCTGCCTCTACAATGTGCTGACCCCACGATGCTCATCAATCCCACCCCACAGTGCAGGGCTGTTCCCCGCACAAACAGAAGGCAGGTCTCTCCAATAGGAAAACAAAGCCCAGCTGGAGTAAACTTACCGTAGCAGCTCTCACAGGCTCTCCCTAATAGGGGGTTCTGGGGCTGGAACGTGGTCCCCACAGCTCCATTCACAGCGCCAGGCTTGCCATTGCTGGTGGATATTTGGTTGGGATTTGGTTTGCTGCTTTCAGTGAGATGTAAAGTGAGGTGATAAAAATGATTTGTATAACAAGGCAAGAAGCATCACATCTCCTTACTAATTTACTTCAACTAAATAAACCTTAAAAAGATTCAGTGAAAAAGAAAGAAACTGGTAAAAGCAAGGTATTAACCACCCACATTTATAAAACAAGGATATGTAACAACAAATCTCTTGTGCCTTATATTCAACAAAGTAAATACAGTATCTCTGTCGGTCCAAATGCAATTTCATTGGAATATCATCAGATACTTTTGAAAGATACAAGCTATCAGGCTTTCATCACTTATCATAAATTCTTCTAAGCAAACAGAATCATTTTGGGGTAAAATACATCAGGTTTAAGGCAGCACAGTGTGAGTAGGGAAAGCACTGTCCTCTGCTGCTGCTGAGAAAGTACCTGACTGCACCCCAGCTTTAGAGGGGGTGCCACAAGCACTGACAGTGAGCGAGCACTTCAGGAGCCTCTAAGTACCTGCCCTATCCCTAAATAGCATTTAAAATTAGAAAAACCAATAACTTTGAGCTTCAAGTTGTTTCTTTTTAAGAAAACAATTTTTAGGAGGAAAAAGGAGACATGCACATTTCCTAGAGACTAAGTCAACAGAGCCACTACACATTTCACTAGAAATGGGCAGTCCAGACATCTCTTACTACTTCCTGTGCAAACATGGCTAACTTGTCCCCATCTACAACAGGCTAAGTCCCGTGTTTAGAAGCCATGCCCCAGAGTACTTCACAGGTGCACACAACAGGCATGACTCATTTTGCATATAATTCAGAGCCTGGTAAATCTCCTACACTGAGTAGCTTTCATTCTAGATGAAGTTTCCTATTTGGTAGACAGAAAATAAACAAGTTTAGAAATCAATGCTGAATGAATGAATGGAGACTATTCTGTTATGGAGACCACACTGCTTCCCCATGGCTACTGAAGCAATGAGATGTCACAACTACTAATACACTTGGAATCTCAACAGAGTTGGCTCAGGGATTTCCTCTTTCTTACAATTCCATTTAACAGTCAAAGTCTACTGTATAAGACTTGGTGTGCCTGAGAGCAAAGACCCTACTTAAGATTTCTTTCTACATTATTAATGTAACTCTCAGCCTTCCATGGCTCACCACACCTTTTCCACACCAGCCACACTACCTTTCTGCTCTTCAACTGTGCTCTGCCCCTTCCCATCTAAGGATCCCACTGGCCTGGAGTTCCTCCATTATTGCTCAGTCTCTCCTCAAAGTACACGCAAACTCACTTCCTTGAAGGCTTTCTTGGAAGCATCAACTAAACTGGGGCCCCAAGGATAAACTCGCCTTCTATGCCATACAGCGCTTCCCATGCTGCATCTTTACCGTCTTGTTCCCCTTACCTGCCCCCTCTAGAGGCCAGTCTGTCTTCTCAACCTTGTTACCTCTAGCACTGAGCAGGATGTTTTGAATATGGGAGACTGCCATGCTCAAAACATGACAGACTTATTTATTTTAGTTGTAGGTGGACACAATACATTTATTTGTTTTTATTTTTATGTGGTGCTGGGGATCGAACCCAGTGCTTCGCGTATGTGAGGCAAGCACCCTACCACTGAGCCACAACCCAGTTCTTAATCTGTTACCTTTAAAAAATGTATATTTTTATTTATTTATTTTTAGCTGTAGTTGAACACAACATCTTTATTTTACTTATTTATGTGTATGTGGTGTTGAGGATTGAACCTAGAGCCTCCCATGTTCAAGGTGAGCGCTCTACCACTGAGCCACAACCCAGTTCTTAATCTGTTACCTTTAAAAAATGTATATTTTTATTTATTTATTTTTAGCTGTAGTTGAACACAACATCTTTATTTTACTTATTTATGTGTATGTGGTGTTGAGGATTGAACCTAGAGCCTCCCATGTTCAAGGTGAGCGCTCTACCACTGAGCCACAACCCGAGCCCAATCTACTACGTTTTAAAACAACCCATTTCAGAGTTAATTTGGAAATTTATGGAAAGACTCACAATTTTATCAAACTCAGTAATTCAGTTGCATATTTTTGAACACTGGATATGTCTTAAATATATGTTTTTAAAGTATGATTAGAAACTGTCTTGATTTCTAAAAATCATTCACTTAGAGCAGGGTTTGGGAAATAGGCATTATCTTGACATGACAATGATTTTAAACCCAAAGGATAATAACAGGATGCTAGACAACTAAAACAACTGAAACCTATCCATTACTAATTGAACATTTACAAAGTAGGATTCTAATTAACCACTAGAACGAAGAAAACAATATAAAATCCTTTTTTTAAAGGGCCAGATAGTTATACATTTTAAGCAATTTCAGTTGCACCCACTGAATTCTGCCACTGTAGTCTGAAAGCAGGCAATACATAAATGAATGAGTATGTGTGTGTTTCAATTAAACTATTTACCAAAAAGAGATAGATCAGATTTGGCCCACGTACTATAGCTTGCTGATCCATGGCTTAATCAAGACACCAAAGTCAATGTAAAGCAGGAAACAACAACAACAATTATCCGGCTGTGTGCAGGGACAAATACCTATTATCCCAGCTATTCAGGAGGTTGAGGCAGAAAGATCCCAAATCCAAGGCCAACCTGGGCAATTTAAGGAGACTCTGTCTCAAAAACAAAAAACAAAAAGGGCTCGGGGTATGACTCATTGGTAGAGCACCCCTGGGTTCAATCCTTAGTACTGCAAAAGCAAACCAAAAAACCAACTCTCTGTGTTAGTTGGTCAGAAATGGTTAAAGATACCAGCCCTGTGATGTTGGCAACACTGAAGTACAAGGAAGTTGATATGCTTACTTTATGAAAATCAAATACATGTGAGTTGCAACAGTATCCTCTTTGAGAAGTGGTATTTTTATAAATCAGTCAAATACAATATGTAAATGAAAAGGAACAAAAAAAATCACTCTGTAGAAGAGATATAATCATAAGGGATCATAAATTCCATGTTTTTAAAATTATAACAGTTATGTGCTTAGAGATAAAAGATGAATACAAAAGATCACAATTCACTGCCCTTGAGGCATTATATATGTAAAAAACATCTATCATGCAATATAGTAAAATTCTGTAACTAAAGGTAAAGTATAAAATGACTGTATTTAAGCTCTAAGAATGAGAAAAATCTTGGAACAGCACACAGAAATTTTTAATAAATTTCACTTTAATTCCCAAGGAATCTAGGATAGTACTATATACATAGTGCTCAAAAAACTAATTTTTCCTTAACAAATGAATAATCAAACTTTGAAGAACTCAATAAAATTGTGTAATTCATCTAAAACACAACAAATGAAAAGAAAACTGGCATTCATTTTGACATGGCAATGACCTGTAAACCCAAAGGACTAAAAAGAATGCCAGACACCTAAAACAAATGAAACCTGCCATTACTTATTGAACAGTTCTAATTACCATTTGAACAAAGAAAACAATGCAAAATCCTCAACCAAATAATTCGAAGGACATACCTCAAAGAGGCAATGAACATCACCCAAACAAGTTCAAGTTCCCAGCTTTGTGAAACACATTTGCTTGCACTAATACAGAGTTAGTTCCATGGGTTAGTTTTGGACAATTTGTCTACAGTTTTGTTGGAAACACAGAACACTCTCTCTTTTCCTAGTCCTTAGGTTAGTCTATATGTGGTTTCTCTTACCTCATTTTTTTTTTTTTGGTCTAAAAATAACAATAGAAGGCAAGTGTCATGCTTTGTAGAGGAAGAAAGTAAGATAGACAAAGAAATTCAAACTTCTCTGAAAGTGAACAAAATAACATGGTTTGTAATGATACAATTAAGAGCAGGACAAATATTTTTAAAAATTTCATTACTTACTAAGTTGGGATATAAACTTGTTTCAGTTTACTCTCAGCTTCTGCTGCTTTTAGACGTTTCTAATTCAAAAGATGGATAAAATATTTTACACATAATGCCTATTAGTTATTACCACTTCACTGTCTTAAAAAACAATAAAGTATCAGGCTATAAATTAAAATTTACTCTTTTTAATTAAAGACAAACTTTTCTTTCATATGCATATTCTTCAATTGTAGTAGCTTATAAGAAAAGTCACTTGATTCTGAGTTACAGAACTATAGTACTTTTTTTTTTCTTCAGTGCGAGAGATAGAACCCAAAGCCTCACACACACCAGGCAAGCACTCTACCCTTGAGCCACATCCCCAGCCCTAGATATAAATTTTTAAAGTAAAGCAACGAACAGCTCCATTCCATTTTTTTTTATTTTTTAGGTGCTAGGGATTGAACCCAGGATCTTGTGCATGCTAAATACTCACTCTACCATTAAAACACACCTCTAGTCCCCAAAAGGACCTATATTAGCATGGTGAAGAGGCACATGCCCATAATTCCAGTCACTAGGAAGGCTGGGGCAGGAGGATTGCAACTTTGAGGCCAGCCTGGACAACAGGGCAAGTAAAAAGAATGGGGGATGTGGCTCAATGGTATAGCACCCCTGGATTCAAACCCTAGTGCCAAATAAATAAATAAAATGAATAAATATAAACATTTTTACTTTTACAAACTGTTTCTACTTTCTTACTTGTTTATCTGGAAGAAACAACACACACACACAATACTTGCTTTTAGAAAAATATTCAGAGATGATTAGTTTCCAAAATCCATCAAAGAGAAAGAGACTGTCACTATTCTAAGTAAAATTAAATAAACCTTTACCCTCAAATGTTGGGAGATATGAAGTAACTTTTTTTTTCCTTGGTACTGGTGATTGAACCCAGTGGCACCTGACCACTTAGCCACATCCCTTATCCTTTTTATTTTCATTTTGAGACAGGGCCTCACTAAGTTCTTAGGGCCTCAATAAGTTGCTGAAATTAGTTTTGAACTTGGATCCTCCTGCTTCAGCCTCCCGAGTTGCTGGTATTATAGGCATGCACCACTGTGCCTGGCAACATGCAGTAAAACTTTAAACCTTGGCCAAGCTCACCATAAGACTGTACTGACATCAATTAGTAGCCAAGTGCAGGGAAAGGAATGGGAAGTAAATTAGATAATAAAATCCAGACACTGATCAACACAATAATGACAATGTTCAAAAATGAGACCAGCCAGAACAAAAGGTGATCCTCCACTTTCCCAGTAAGAGGAAAAAAAATGGTGAGGGGGCAACCTGAAACTTTTAGAACAGAGTTTAAATTTTTACGATAACTTTATTCGAACATTTTCGACTGTTCTTGATGTCACAGTCTCTATCATCTTTAGGGACCCTTTCTGATTGGAATGCACAGCCTTTCAGACCCACTGCCTTCATTTCTACTCATGTTCAAATAAGCACCTTTTGAATTATATATGATGTTGACAGAGGAAATTGTTCGACAGGCCTTGGATATCTATTCACTGTTCATGACCTCAATAACCCTTTGTGATACTTTTTAAAGTGATTCTTAAATGTATTTGTACTGCATCCCAACCTTGCCACTGTGTAACCTCCATCTTAGGGGGAAAAATCTACATTAAATATTTGTGTCTTTATTTATAAGTTCTGACATGTGACTTCAAGAATATAAAACAAATATTGACTGAGCTTGTTTCAGGAAAATATACTTTCCCCAAAGGTAACATGATTCAAAATAAATAACTGAAGATGTTATATGAATTGAGGACATTTGAGAAAGCCTCAAAAATTAAAAACTCCCTACTTTTAAATAATTTTGGATCACTTCTCGGCCTTTTGGCTAAGATCAAATGTAAATATCATGTATAGCACTAAAACATCAAACTAGTAAGACTACTAAAATTAAAGTAAAAAACAGGTAAGATACACACATAAGTGTCACATAAGGACAATTCAGGAGATATTTTAAAATATCTCTAATTATACGGTTGATGGCATTGGTCTCAACTTTCAAATCTTCATAAAAATAACTTGTTCAAGAGGTCTGTGGCAATGCCACATCTCTGATATTTCCCATCAACTATACTCGCAAACAGATGAAGCACCAGTCACATGCAAGGAAAATAACGCCTTTCTAGTGATATCCTGCTCTGTCATCTTTCTAAAATATGTATCATCATGAATGATGAGGTCAAGGAAATCTAAGATGAAAATGTTAAATATAATAACTTAAAGACATTAAATCATGGAGTTAAAATTAGTATGGGAAAGATAAAGCAAACAATTGTGAAATTAGCAAATTGCTAAGAAATATTAAAATAAACAGTTCATTTTAATGCACTCATGGTGGTAGCAATATTAATAAGTTACCTGCTGCACATATCTGTCAGTAGTTTTCCACATGTAATAATACTCAATGATGCTAGTCAATGACTTCCAAGGGAGCTGAAAAACATTCAACATGATAATGAAAACCACCTACTGTATAAAGTGCTTTTCTTTAAAACCACCTCTTTAAAAAATAATGGAGCAAATATTCATTTGGAAGATTCATTCTAGAAAAAAAAAGCCCTGAAGTTTAATTTTAGCAAAAATTGCCCCACATGTTATATTCAGCAAAGAAATTCCCAATACAACACATTTCATTTATTGCCTCATTCATTAAAAATTATAAACATTATGACTATCAATATTTCACGACTTACTCAGGAAAGATCTCAGGCTACATGTGGAAGTATAGAACAAGTTTAGAAATAACATTTAAATAACTTTAGCCTGAGTTACTTTTTCAAAGATGCCAGCTACAACTAAGTATCTTTTGGTCTCTGAACATAATATTTCCATTCTTTTCAAAACCACTCATATTAAAAAAAAAAAAAAAGCTAATTCTCTGAAAAAAAAAAAAAAAACACAGCTGAGTGTGCTTCTTATTAGTAGAGCAAGCTAGCCTGAGCTGTTTTTGATAAATATTCAAAAATGGCCAAATAAAATCTTAATCATGAAACCTACAACCAAAGAATATATTTGACATGTCTTTCTGTAGAAGGGAATCTGTTAGTTATCCAAGATGCAAATGAGGACAGATCATACTTTCATGATGATATGAATAGCTGATAAAACAATCTTGAATTATGGCAGCAGATTTTATAAGGTGACTCAGCCCTCTGACTTCCCTATCATGTTATAAGAATTGGAAAGTTAAAACTACTTCCTGGACTTTATACCTGGGATCTGCTTATGAAACCTGGACAACATCCATGCCATTCCTATCACCTCTCCATTTAACTCACCTGTTAGACCTCAAAACAGATGGATTTTAGAGAAATTATTTTAAGCTTATTTGGGTGGCAACACCAATAGCAGTTACAATGTAATATCTTTACAGGATCAATCAGCCCAGCCACTAAGCTGTGAACCATAGCTAAAGCAAATAGTTTTATTTTAATTCAATGTGTTCATCTAATAGAGTTGAAAGTGTGTGGAAGATGGTGAAGGAGCCTTAAGCAAGACCTCATAGGATAGTCATGGTATAGTCCCCTCGGCTTTTTAAGTAGCATCAGAACTCTTATCATTTATTATTCTTCTGAGAAAAAGGCCTTAATTTTAATTTACCTGGAAACCAAGTAACCAGGAAAGGAAGCCAAGTGACCATGTAAACACAGCTGCATCAGCTTTATTTTATCCAGTCCTCTGAGTCCTGACTGGCTGTGCCCAGCAGCACTCAGCATTACAATGTTAGGCTGCACTCTTTGTGCACTGCTTCTAGCTGGGAAGCATCTAAACTTGGACTACTAGCCCTCTAGGAGGTTCTGTGAGCCTTCAGACACCAAGTAATATATTTCATTCTGCTAAACTAGTTCAGTTAAATGGATTCTGCTGTCTCCACTTATGGCTTGTGGATTATCTTTCCCAGGGGTATAGCAAGGATGGTATAACAGGCATCTATTTTGCTAGAACAGAGCTTGGATCCCAGTAGTTCTTGGAGCCAACAGCTCTGAGGCAGGTTCTCTGTGGCACAGGAACATTGGGAATTGAGGGGGGAACATCCTTCAGCATTCCAGGCCCTATATTAAGCAAAGGTAAGACTGTGTTGTTCAAATCATCGCCTATTCTCCACTGCCCAAAACAGTACAAATGACTGAATATACAACATAGAACATGGCAACCAAGACCAAATGGATGAGACTGACAGCAGTTTATTAGTCACATGTACACACAGCCCAGGGGAAAGAACACTGCACACCATGTGGGGTTACACAGGAATTGCAAGTGAGAATAAGGTGAAGCAGTAGGAGCTGTGGAAGTGAGGCTCAGTACTAGCAAGAGGTTAAGATGTTCCTGGTTACTGCAGAGGATGTGACAGACTCGTGTGAACAATTCTTCAAGCTAGCAGGGTAATGAAACCCATCAGGCTGAAGACTGGGGGGTGGGGGTGGTGGGAGCAAGTGGCTACTAGGGGAAATAGCCAGGTAGGGAGACATTCCTGTAGCACAGACGTGGGGAACATCTGGCAAAGGCAGGAGAATTCAAGTTAAGCTTTGGAGGCTCAAAGATGTTAAGGCAGCACATGGAATTTTAGGCTTTCCATGTACTAGTGCACTGAAGATGACCAGAACAATGAAGCCCAAACCTGGAACCACTCAGTGACTAGACAGACTCAACCCCTGACACTGATGGCTTGAATAGAAACAAGACATGCTCATGTTTATTTCAGAAAATAAACACCATTGAACTCAGTCCCTCTTATCATTCATTCATTCATTCATTTATTTTGGGTGGTGGTACTGGAGCTTGAACTCAGGGGCACTCAACCACTGAGCCACATTCTGTATTTTATTTAGAGACAGGGTCTCACTGAGTTGCTTAGCACCTTGCCATTGCCGAGGTTAACTTTGAACCTGCAATACTCCTGCCTCAGCTTCCCAAGCTGCTGGGATTACAGGCATGTGCTATCACACCCAGCTGCTGTTATTGTTAATACAAGATATTCTATATTTAATTAAAAAATCAGACATGCAAAAACACTAGAGAATACATGTATCATTGTATAAATTCAAAATTTTGATTATTGAATAATTGACTATATATTGAATAATTGAATACACGGAGTGAATACACATGGAATAATTGAATATCTCATTGAATAAAGTAATCAACAGACAAATCTGGACCTCAAGATGGCCCCAAATGTTGAAAACTGTCAAATTAGAAATTTTAACTATAATTAAAATACTGTATTTTGGTGGGGGGAGGGGTGTTAGGGATCAACCAGGGTGCCTTATGCATACTAAGCTACAACCACAGCCCCTATAATATACTGAAGGAGCTAATTAAAAGGATGGATAACATGTCAATTGATTAGGAACTTCAACAGAGATCAAAAGCATAAGACAGAAACTATGAAGTCAGGAAGAAAAACATGCTATCACACTTGAAGAATTCTGTAAGAAGTTTATCAGTATACTGGACACGGCAAGAATTATCTGTACTAAAAGATTATATAAACTAAAACAAAAGCAGAAAAATCAATGGAAAAAAAAAGCACCATGAACTGGTGGACAATATTAAATGATCTAGTAATGTATAACTGGAGTTCTACAAGTAAATGAAAAATCTTCAAAAAGAAAATGACTAAGAATTATCTAAAATGTAGAACATTCAAATGACAGTTCTAGGAAGCTCAAAGGATTACAGTTATTACAAAAAAAAAACTTGGAGGCATATTGTAGAAGTAAATGCTAAAATCAAAAGTAATAAGAAAATACTGATGAAGAAAAAGAAACATTGTGCAATACGAACTTTTCATCAGAAACTATATCCACCAGACAAAGGGACATCTTCAGAGTATTAAAAGGGGGGGGGGAGTAAATCCTATAAAGAATTAAATATCTTTCTAAAGGGGACAGTAAAAGATTCATCAAACAAAGGTGCATTGTTGACTAAACCTATACTAACAATAACTGTTTATACTGGAAGAAAACTTTCAAATAAATTATCTGAACTTCAACTTTAAGAAGATACTAGAAGGAAATGCAGTAAAGTCCTAAGCAATGTGAAAACAGGAAGATAGAAGCAGAAATCAATAAAATAGAAAATTTTAAAAAAATCAAACAATCTAAAAGCCAGTCTTTGCAAAGTTCAATAAAATTGATAAAACTCCTAGCCAGATTGATCAGGAATAAAAAGGGGGTGAGATGGGATAGGGAGGAGAGACACAAGTTTTGAGTATCAGGAATAAGTGAGTAGACATAACTAGAGATCTAGCCCACAGACCTTAAAAAAATAATTTGAGAGGGCCTAAGGATGTTGCTCAGTGACAGAATACTTGCTTATTAGTATGTGTGAAGCCCTGGGTTCAATTTCCAAGAAAATAAAAAGTAATCCACTGTATAAAGAAACAAAAGAGGATAACTCTACCTATAATCACAACTTATTCATAAATCACATCTTACAAAATTCAGAATCCCTTCATGGTAAAAACTCAGAAAAGCAGGATGAGATGGTGTACACCTGGAATTCCAGCTACTTAGGAGGTAAAGGCAGGAGAACAGCATGTTTGAAGCCACCCTGCGCAATTTAGTGAGACTCTGTCTCATTAAAAAAGAAAAAACAAAAACAAAAAAAAAGGTGTACTAGAGATTCCAGCAAGTACTAAAGGCAGGATAAAGAAGTAACAGTCACACATATCAGAAATAAAAAACAAGACTCTATCTGCAGAAATCTGTCTATGTAGAAAGTCTCAAAGGATTAATCAAAAAACCTAATTAAGTACTGCCTGAGATTAATAAGGCTAGAGAAAATGTGATAAAAAACACTAAGCCAACATATAGAGAATTCTCAAAATGAATACTAAGATAACCAAAGTGGGAAAAATTAAGCATGAACAAACGTTTCTCATCAAACACTTACTATACCAACAAAACCATGTAAAGATGCTAAACATCATTAGTGTTTGTAAAAATGCAAATTAAATCCACAATGACCTCAGCACCATAAAAAGCAAAACAAAATAGGGGCTGAAGATGCAGCTCAGTGGCAGAGCACTTGCCTAGCATGTGAGGCACCTGGGCTCAATCCCCAATACCACAACAAAACAAAACACACACCACAAAGAGATGCTACTACAGAGCTATGGCTTTTAAAATGATGCTAACAAGTACCAGTGAGGATGTAAAGCAAATGAAACTGTTACATTTTGCTAGCTGTAATGCAAAATGTTACAGTCCTGCTGAAAATACTTGTTTGTCAGGATTCAATTAAAGAAGCAGGGCCAAAAAAAACAGATTTACCTTATTTACTATATTTTAATTTTTATTTTATTTTTTAATATTTTTTAGATGTTGATGGATTATATTAATTTATTTATATACATTGTTGATAATCGAACCCAGTGCCTCACACATGTTAGGCAAGCACTCTATTACTGACTCACAACCCCAGACCCT